GAACCGGGACTAAAGGGTGCGATGCCCATTAGTACCGGTTCGTGGCACCAACCGGTACTAAAGGTTAGACCTTTAGTCCCGGTTCGAGCCACCAACTGATACTAATGGGGTTTGAGGCATTAGTACCGGTTCATGGCACGAACCGGTACTAAAGCTCCCATTTTCAAACTCCACCCCCTGATCGCCTTTTCAGTTTAAAAAATAAAAGAAAATGATGAAAATGTCAAAAAAATAAAAAAAAATAAGTTTCCCATGTGATATGTGGTCTAGTTGTTGGGAAAATTTGCAAATGTGAATTTCGACTTTATTTGCAAAATCTCTCTAGAATTTAGTAAAATGGGCATAACTTTTGCATACTAACTCGGATGAAAAAGTTTTTATATGAAAAATCATCTACTCGAAAAGTTACTTCCAAATTTAACGGGGGGGCCCCGTTAAACATTTTCAAAATCCTCAAAAACCTAACAGAAAAAAAGTTACGGGGCTTGTAAGATCTAGAGTGGAAAAAAATCAAAAAAAATTCAAACTGTGGTCAAACAATGGTCAAACTAATTATTCTAGAATATTAGTGTTACTAAATAATTATTTTAGTTATTTTGAATTTTTATCAAATCTGGTCAAACTGTGGTCAAACAATGGTCAAACTAATTATTCAAGAAATATTAGTGTTACTAAATAATTATTGTTTTTTAAAACAGTAGTTTCAAACTCAAACAGTGAAATGTGTCACTTCATGCTCAAGCAAAATTCCTGAGGGTTAATAGGATTGACATCTTACTATTGTCAGGAAAACAACAAGTGCAGACTTGGAAACGAGGGAGAATAGAACCCGGAAGTTAAGCTTGCTCAGACTGGGGGAGTGGGAGGATGGGTGACCGTTCGGGAAGTTAGATGATTTAGAATGATGAGGGGTGATTAGAGATTAGAGGATAAATTGAGTAGTGATGAGGGATGGTGATTAGAGATTAGAGGTTAAAATAATTCAGAAAATTGAAAATAAAAAAATTCAGAAAAAATTCAAAAAGAAATTATAAAATTTCCTTTAGTCCCGGTTGGTAATACCAACTGGGACTAAAGGTGGATCTCCACGTGGCCACGGCCTTTAGTCCCGGTTCGTGTTAGAACCGGGACTAAAGGGAGGAGGCATTAGTAACGACCCTTTAGTCCCGGTTCATGAACCGGGACTAAAGGCCCTTACAAACCGGGACAAATGCCCTGTTTTCTACTAGTGAACCGGGACTAATGATCAAATTAGACCCAGTTCGTAGCGTCACCAAGGCATATTTTTTACAAGTGATGCTACGTTGTAAGATAATAGAAACACCCTTTATTGAAATATTAGTGTTACTAAATAATTATTGTTTTTTAAAAACAATAGTTTCAAACTCAAACAGTGAAATGTGTCACTTCATGCTCAAGCAAAATTCCTGAGGGTTAATAGGATTGACATCTTACTATTGTCAGGAAAACAACAAGTGCAGACTTGGAAACGAGGGAGAATAGAACCCGGAAGTTAAGCTTGCTCAGGCTGGGGGAGTGGGAGGATGGGTGACCGTTCGGGAAGTTAGGTGATTTGGAATGATGAGGGGTGATTAGAGATTAGAGGATAAATTGAGTAGTGATGAGGGATGGTGGTTAGAGATTAGAGGTTAAAATAATTCAGAAAATTGAAAATAAAAAAATTCAGAAAAAATTCAAAAAGAAATCATAAAATTTCCTTTAGTCCCGGTTGGTATTAGTAACGACCCTTTAGTCCCGGTTCGTGGGAGGCATTAGTAACGACCCTTTAGTCCCGGTTCGTGGGAGGCGTTAGTAACGACCCTTTAGTCCCGGTACTAAAGGCCCTTACAAACCGGGACAAATGCCCTGTTTTCTACTAGTGAACAGACCCAGTTCGTAGCGTCACCAAAGGCATATTTTTTACAAGTGATGCTACGTTGTAAGATAATAGAAACACCCTTTATCGAAAAAGGAGGGAAGTTGCACCCCCCGCGCTCACCAGGGATCAAACTTGACGTTTGACGCTTTGTGGTCTCAAAAACATGGAATACTTTACAAGTGCAAGGTGGCATTACCATCGATTTGTGGTTACTTCATCAATGTTTAGCATTGAGTTTTATGGAAGATACCAACAGAGATTGCCGGATAGGCTGTCCATGCGTTCATTTATGAGTTGATCTTTTTATGTGTTTATGAACATCTATGTCTGTACTGTGTTTTAGAAAATGAGCATAAACCAGGGTTTCTTATCGAATTGCTGACCAGCTCTCCTAAACCAAAAAGCAAGCTGCAGGGAAAGGAAGTACTACTACATATTTCCATCGCAAAAAAAAAAGAAAAAAAAAGTACTACTACATATTTACGGTGGTTTGTTTTTGGGGCGTACCAACGAAACTATAATGCATGTATTCAAGACCTACGGTCGTCTTGTCATAAACTAGGAAATAGCTCCACTCATTATATTATATACATGCATGTGGCGTGTCAGGCTCGAACCATAACAAAAGAAGCAAAGACCCCGTAGTAACCTCCGCACACGTGCATGCATGTGACCTGCTGAGATCCCATCCATGACTTCTGCATATTTCTAAGCGACCCCGTAGTAACCTCCGCACACGCTAGATCTGGCTCCTGACCCAATTGATACTACTTTGTTAACAAGAATCGGTAACACCCAGCGACCAGGTCAAAAAGAATTAAAATACCAGACCCAACGACCCACCCTTCCCGCGCGCTTTTCAAGTGCAGCTGATGCTCAAATCAATGACTGCATTGCGGGGAGTCAGCTCCTCTGCCGTCCCACCACAGCCGTGAAGTCCGCAATTAATGCCACTGGCCATCAGCGTGAGATCTGAGGCCAATCCCTTCCTCCAAAGCCACTCCACTTGCTTGTTTTGTCATCTTCCCAGACTTATTTTGTGTATACTGTTACGAGAGTAAGTACAGTAGGATGACATAGGCGCGCTCTAAGCCTTTAAATATTACATTTTGAATTAGTTGGAGGAGAGAGATGGGAAGCGGGCTACTGATTAACAACGGCTGCAACAGATGCTCCTAGGCATGTTGTAAGAGAGTGAGTTGGACCATGTATCAAAAGAGTAGCACATATTTATATGCAACTATTGTACTTGCCGGCTACTACCTTCGTCCTGGTTTATTTGTCTCCTTTGTAATTTGTGTCAAATTTTACCAACTATTTAACTAATAAAATGTTAATGCATGTCAACAAAAATGATATCGTACTTGAACCTATTTTTAAATGATATAATGTTTTGTGACATGCATGAACATTTTGTTAGTTAAATTTATGGTCAAAATTTGGCACAAAATACAATGAGGACCAATAAACCAGGACGGACGTAGTATAAGATTGGCTATAGGTGATGTGGCAAACCATATAGCCAGCAGCTGGCTATACTATTAATCATGCTCTCAGGTTTTTGCCCCGTGGTGCACGAGACGACTGTGGACCTATACAATGGGTTTCCTAGTAATGCATCGAACTTGCTATAAATACCCACGGTCGGCCTTCTTGTGTTCTTCACACACCACAAGAGATCACCTACACGGTCTCTTCACTTAGGCACCATTAGTTGGTCCCAACCTCCACACTACATCTCCCATGGCCAATTTGGAGATCACTCATTATGAGGGTTCACTAGTGGAGAACACTAAGATCAGCGTCCGCAACTTGTACTTGCGCCGGCTCTCTTCTGGGCCAAACAAAAACCAGTTAGTGCTCATAAATGGCTATGGTTCAACTGATCTACGCCGAGAGAGAGGTCATCGCCATCTGATGGCACGGTCGGTAAGCCAAGCGGACGATATTATACAATCGTCTTATGGAGAAACACAAGGCAAAAAAATAACTTAGGTTGTCTTATTATATACAAGGAAATAACTCTACTCCTTGCAATATACTATTATAGATGCATGTGACGTGTCAGGCTCTAAGCATAACAAAAGAAGCAAAGACCTGCTGAGATCCCATCCATGACTTCAACTTATTTCTAAGCGACCCCATGGTAACCTCGGCATATGTTAGATCTGGTTCCTGACCCAATTGACATTGTAGGCTAGTCATAGTGGGAGTAAATTAGCTAGTAACATATCGCATTCCAAGACTAGTTCGATTATGTGACATGTAGTTAATGAGGAGAGAGGTGTTGGAAGTAACATAACGCCGTTTACCAATGTGGAAGTACTAGTAAGTTTTGACTGACCCAATACAGCACCCTTGCTACTACTATTATCCCTCTTTTTTCATGTATCGGCTCGGGGTATCGAAAAGCAAAAGTTATATCTCCCCTGTCCATAGATTTAAGGATAGCGAGGCATACCAACGCCATGGCCTGGTTGTTTCTGAACGAGATTCCAAATCAATAGGGCGAAGAGCTCTTCGCATGATCTGGTCCTACCTTTTGTCTACGATATAACTTACACAACCCAAAGCAAAATGAGTCTACAATCAAATAAATATAAACATCTATGATACTAAGTTCAAAGTTACTTTGCAGTATAAAGATAGGACTAACATAGACGAGTGTCATATAGATGACACTAATATAAGTTACTTCCCACAATGACTATCCATTAACATAGATCTGGTAGCACCCACCGACCCACCATTTCTGCGCGCCTTTCACGTGCAGCTGATGCTGCAATCAGTGAGTGCATTGGGAGTCACCCTCTCTGCCACCGTCGTGAAGACTGCTATTAAGGCCACTGGCCACCAGCGTGAGATCTGAGGCCAATCCCTTCCTGCAAGCCGCGCCACTTGCTTGTTTTATCATGTTCCCAGACTTGTTTTGCTTTGGCCATCAAGACCCACGCGGTGGAGATGTGGCCTTACCTCCAGCGTTTATCTAGCTACCTTTGCACCCTATAAATACGCACGGCCGGCCTTCTTGTGTTCTTCACACACCACAAGAGATCACCTACACGGTCCATACACTTAGGCACCATTAGTTGGTCCCAACTCTGCATCCACTCCATCTCCCATGGCCAATTTTGAGATCACTCAATACGAGGGTGCACTTGTGGAGAACACCAAGATCAGCTTCCGCAACTTGTACTTGCGCCGGTTCTCTTCAGGACCAGAGAAGAACCAGTTAGTGCTAATAGACGGGTATGGTTCAACTGATCTTGGGCTTACTGCCGCCAACAACTGGGCAATATATGATGGCACCGGTCCGGATGCAAAGCTGGTTGCCCATGCACAAGGTCTGCAGACCAACGTTGCAGGCAACTGGTACAACTCATTCGTCATGGTGTTTGAGATTGAGAGGTAAGTATATATGAAGATTAGTATGTTGTGTATTAATTTGTTCTGCCTTGCATAATAATACAATTGATTAATTCAGGTTCAAGGGGTCCACGCTTGAGATAATGGGAGCAACAGTCGAGAAAGAAGGCGAGTGGGCAATTGTCGGTGGAACGGGTGGCTTTGCAATGGCTCGTGGTATCATCCAGAGAAAAGTACATGAAAAGAGAGCTGATGGAGAAATACTAGAGCTTACCATCGACGCATTCTACCGCATGAAGATGGAGGTGAGCCTACTATTCCATTATGCTCTTGTTTACTTGCACTTCCACACTATATACTACTAGTCGTGAACCTGTGCGAATGCAGACAGTTTGATTTCTACAACTGATCAAGTTTGGTGAGAAAAAAACTATTGGTCCCACTAGATTGTTGTCTCTTTTTTCTTTCCTGTTTTCTACTGACTAACATGGGAATTTCCTGGTGTCTAGTACAAGATGTCTAGAACGACATGTTGGATCCACAGCAGGATGTCTGATGACTCCGTTGTGGCAATTATCAATGGAGAGGTCGTCATGACCAACGCCAACCGGAGTGACGAACGTCAGGCAAGGATTTCTGTCTATCTAAGTTTCTGCAAACCGGTGTACAGTGTATTCACATCTGATCCCCTGTTTTATTTCATGTAGCTCTGGTGGAAGCACCTTATATACGAGGATGGCCTCAAGGATGAGGCAGGCAACCCAGGGTTTGTGCTGGTGAACAAAGGCACCGGAGATGCATTGAAGCACCCTCCTATGGACCCCAGTCGCTGGGTAAGCCATTTTGTTTCAGATACTGGCTCTTGTGCTCAATGAGATATGTCTGCTCATTTCTTCCGGCCCATATCAGATCGAAACCATCAAGTTCGATCAAGCGCATCTGGACGAGTCAATCCAGTGGGCCGAGAGCGGGGACCTGGGCGCTGGTTTTCGCCAAATCTATAGGATCAACAAAATTGACTACCACTTAAATGCGTATGGCGGGTCTGCACAAGAGGGCACACGGCTCCAACTCTATCCGGCGAATGGCCAAATTTTTAATAATGAGCTTTGGAAGATCACCCCCGTAGAGTGACGCGCCAAAGCTTTACTGATCAGTTTGGTTGCACTGTTTCATCAAATTATCTTTTTCGTTTTCAAGTTAAATATATTGTTGGCAGTAGTGTCTGTTTCAATAATATTTTCACATCAGAAGCTGTGGGGCTTGAGAGCCATATCTTGTTCCCAACTTCCGATTATCTTTAGTTCATGCTCATCTTCCGTCTCAATAAATAACAGTGCATTCTTGATCTCCATGGTACTATATTGAAGTTTTACCATGTAATTGTCCGTTAAATTTCAACATGAAGCGTTCCATGATCAGCTTCCACAGAAAAAATGATCTTTACTTGGGCATTCTAACCATTATTTACGTGCAGGATGTACATAGCATGGACTCCTTGAAAACAAACAAAAAACTGACCACAAGTAACAATAGTAATCAGGGCAGTTGATTAAAATGTTCAATTAAAAAACACCAAGCTGGAGACACTGCATACGAAGTTGGCTACACTGCAATGGACCAGGTGATGCTGTCGGTGGCGCGACAAGTCGAGTACGGCGGTGCTGCAATGGAGCGGGCGTTGCTGCGGCGACGCGACAAGTCGAGGACGGTGGTGCTGCAATGGAGCGGGCGCGGCTGCGGGCGATGCTGCGATGGAGTGGGGGCATGGTTGCCGGTGGCGCTGCAATGGAGCGAGCATGGCTGCCGGCGGCGCTGCAAGTCGAGGACGGTGGCGCTGCAATGGAGCGTGCGCTGCGGCTGCGGCGTGACAAGTCGAGGACGGCGGCGCTGCAAGTCGAGGACGGTGGCGCTGCAATGGAGCGTGCGCTGCGGCTGCGGCGCGACAAGTCGAGGACGGCGGCGCTGCTGTCGAAATAAACACTAGAAGCAAAAAAACACATGGCGCTTTTGTTTTTGAAAAAAAGAAGATAGAAAGAAGAGTAAGGAAGAAGAGGAAAGAGAGGTAGGCTGGTCCTGTTGGAGCCGTATCCGGTTGGTTTCCTTTGTGGTCAGACTCCTGCTTCCGTACGACTGCATGTCTAGGGCTTTTGATTTTCTATATGGATAGATTGAGCCAGATCGATCCTCCTACCCAATCGATCAGTACCTGCAAAATCCACCGGAGTAGAGGAGCAATGGACGACAGGGAAGATTCCGGCGAGGAGGTTGCTGCTCCTCCGCAGCATGCAGCTCCTCCGCCGTCGTCATTGGAGGACACGGCGGGTGCAACCAGCAAGAAGCAGCGGCTTTCCCATGAGTACGTGCGTTACATCCTGACCATACCTATAGAGGAGAAGCTCCAGCACCCTGACAACTTGCCCTCCTACCTCCGCGGTGACAACTCAGCGGAACTCCTGGACGTGACGGAGGAGTGACTCGAGGAGAAGAGGCTGGACGACGACGTGGAGGTGGACGACGACGACTTCATCAACATCGGCGCCAAGATGGAGGAAGAGGCCAGCGCAAGGTGGGAAGAGGTGAAGAAGAAGAAGAAACCAGACCCGGGTCTCACATTATTCTCGGACTTAGCCGAGGTTTGTGAGAAGCAGGCGATGCTCTTCCTTGGTCAGTGAAGAAAGCCTACAATCAGAGCGCTTCAATCCGACTTTCTGAGATGATCGTCTTGTCTGCTTTCTTTGTCCATATCTCTATCTAGCTAGCGATCTACCTACATCAGTGTCTTGTGTTGGTTGCAGATAAGTCCTTCTAACCATCCAAAGACAGGTTTGGTTCGCATCTTTTTTCTTTTGCATTGAGTTGGACACGCGCGCGCGGACTCGATCGAGGAGAGGAACGACTGAGTCGAGAGAAAAACAAAAACTCGATGCGGCAATCGCCCGCCTGCACGAGAAGTTGGAAAAGAGGTGGGCTGGAGACGTGTCCGGCCCGGTCTTTTTGGTGGACGAGTCTGGGTCCAAGGCCTGCCCAGGTACGTCTAGGGGTTTTGCTTTCGTTGCTAGTATATATTTAGATCGAGCGAGATTGATTCTCCTACCCAACCGATCAATAGGTAGTTCAATTCCATACTCTCAAAATCTGGCGGAATTGAGGGGTGCATCAATCATGTCCGAGAAGGAGGAGAGTTGTGCTCCGCGGCAGCATGCAGCGGCGGACGCACCGTCATTGGAGACGGCGATCCAGATGCACGTCCAGGGCACCGCTTACAAAGAATCCGACCGGCCGGCCGAGACAACCACCGTCAAGAAGCATCGGCTTGACGACGGGTACATCTCTTTCATTCTGGCCATGCCAATCGAGAAGCCGGAGTACCTAGACACGCCGTCCTACCTCTGGCAGGAAAACATGGCGGAGATCCTGGGCGTGACGGAGGACTGCCTCGAGCAGAAAAGGCAGCTGTACAAGGAATGTGTCCTCCGTTCCCAGAGGATTCACGATCACTACCTCAAGTTCCAGGTCCGGGTCCGCGACGAGTGGCTCCAGAAGGGCTATGTCGAGGTGGACGACGACTACTTCACCGTCACGGCAACAATGTGGAAAGAGGCCATGCCAATGTGGGAAGACCCTGCGCTCACATTCAAAGACTCCGACTACGAGAAGCAGGCCAGGTGCTTCCTCGATCTATCTACTACCAATTGAGTCAGTTGTTTTCAACTAATTCAGTTAGAGCGACCTATGCTATTTAGGACTATATTACTGAACCATCCATGTTCGTCTGTATATTACTACAATGTTGTGTATATCATGTTCCAAATTAATTTTTGTTCCACGCCTTGTGTAAGTTTTATTATTTTGTTTTGTTTTAGCCAAAATATTCTTCATATCTGCGGGTTATTGAAATTGCATAACTAATATGAATTTGGATTAGTAATATTTGTGTCTTTCAAATGTCAATAGCATAAAAATAGTTTCAAAATTCAATGTACCATCTTCGAACGGTAAAACAAGGGCCGATCAATCCACCCTTGAGGGGCTGAACAACAATGATGACCTTGGAAATACTGCACGAATAGATTTGACTTGGGGACGACCACACTGGTAACTTAGTTGTTGCTGTTGCAGATAATATCTGTATAAATATATATATTTGGTGCCTGCCAGGGTTCCCTTCCAGAGCAGTGGCGAGCAATTCTATACACCCGCCACTGACCACATTCATCATGTGGCCATGCTCAGCTGTGCTTATTTGTGGTGGGTCATTTACGGCATCCGTCACTACTAGTCCAGTAGCTCTGGCGGCCACTTTGTGGCACCCGCCACAGTTACTTTTGCTAACTAGCAGTTGCGGGTGACCTGCCCCGCCCTCAGACTTGGCTGACGCCTGTGAGAAGCAGGCGATGCTCTTCCTTGGTCAGTGAAGAAAGTCTACAATCAGAGTCAGGGACGATTTTAAGGGGGGACGAGGGGGGGCTAGACCCCCCCCAACGATCTCGTTACACCTTAATAGCGATTAGGTACCACGTATATTTTTCTTCGTACGCAAAGAATTCTGGCTCTCTCGCCCCCCCTGTGATCCATCCGGCCATCCCACAGCGAGAGGCCTAGAGCCCATGTACGCACTCAACATGATGTGTGCGTGATTGCAGGAAGCAGGCCAAGTTGCCAACGGCCCTAATATGAGGAAAAAGCAAAAGAAAAACAGCCCACCTGGAAGACAAAGGAGTCTGGGAAGTAATACGCACGACCACGAGCGAGTCCACGACGTACGCACGGTCGTTTCGTTTCCACAATCTGCTCGTTCGTCGTTGCTCAGTTCCTGCGATTGGAAAAATTCACCGCCGCCGCCGCCCTCCTAGTAGATCGTCCATCCCCTACATCGAATCTCTCCATCCGCCAAGGAGGGAAGGCCTCCGTCCGACCGTCCCCTACGGCGCGACTCCCTGTCGTGCCGATCCGCAGACCGCAGGAGCAATCCGGCCGAGGGCACACACACGGTCCACACGGATGAGCGACCAGGCGATCAACAAAAGGTTAGTTTATTTTCATTATTAGATTATTCCTCTGTGTCTTAGAATCTAATTGTAGAAATATTAAAAACTAATTAGAAATTATTGTATTGTCCAATTATGTGTGAGTAGACATAAAGGGGAAGAGAACTCAGTGAATACATATTTTTTCAAACCAATTGATTAAGCTCTCAGTCATGTGAATATGATGCTAATTCAAATGATGTGAACATGATTTCCAACTTCCTCCTTCAATCTACACTTTATTTTGATGTGTTCCTTAAACACAATAGAACTAGAAACTAGAACAATAAAAAATAAAAAAAATTGACTGTCAAATTATGGGTTTGTAGGCATAAAGAGGAAGAGTTTCGTTGAGAACGTTTTATAGCCAAGTGAAACTACTAACGAATTCTGAAGAAATTATACATACATGAATATCATTCACATTAATAATTTATTTGTATTGTAGAACCGTGGGTATATTTTGAGTGTTTAGACCTCACGATATATAGTTACTATGCTATATGCCTACATGATTGTCTCTTATACGATTGTGATCGACTCTTCTAGTCCAAGCCCCTGCCCCCCCTGATCAGAGTGCTTCAATCCGACTTTCTGAGATGATCGTCTTGTCTCCTTTGTTTGTCCATATCTGTATTTGGCTAGCGATCTACCTACATTAGTGTCTTGTGTTGGTTGTAGCTAAGTTATGCCCATCTATCATATCCATGGTACTGAACTATCCGTAATCCATATATTCAAGTATATGAGAGTTATCTATGTCGCCGAACCATAATCCATGCATGTATCTATCTATGTTATCAATACTCCAAAAGTAAGGTGTGTTTAGTGATCATTATCTGTTGGTCATGTGATTGTACTCCAAAAACCCGCACCATCCATGGAGCAAGTGTATAGACATACTCCCTCTATCCGCGAATAAGCATACTTCTACCATTTCTCCTAAGTCAAAGTTTTATAATTTTGACCAACTTTATAGAAAAGAATAGTAGTATACATGACATCAAATTGGTATATTATGAAAACTAGTAGAGTGCCCGTGCGTTGCCACGGGCTCTTGAAATAGTATGCAAGAGTTACATGTTAAATCACATGTACAAACAATATAACACAAACACAATTATTGAATAATTGAAGTCCATTTTTGCAATGTAAATTGATAACAAAAAGAAAAATTAACGACATGTCCATGTAACAAACTGAGCGATGTTCCACCTAAATATGTATTACAAAACTATCAATATCTAGATGATGCACTTAAGAAATTCTTTCGCACTATCAGGAAAGTTGCATTTAGCTTCATTCCCACGATGTTTTAGCAAGTATAATAAAAATCGCGTCCTTAACTCATACCCGTCCTGCACAAACAATATATGTAATGAAAATTTCACGCCGAAGATCTTAAATCACTTAAAACATGTAATGGATGCGTTGCCACTGGCATTTCAAAGAAAAATACTGGATGCATATATAATCATAAGACATGTCAATTTTCCAGCTTGGCATAGAAGGTGAGTCTAAAATAGTTGCTTAGTTATTCTGATAATCTTGCTAGTACAATTATGATAGTTACAATAATCACCTAGGAGTTTCAATTTTTGAAAGGAAACAACAACAACAATCATTAGGCCCTTAAGAAAAGAAATCACGACATGATTTTGAATCTCACCAGCTACAAGATATATCCTTCCTAATATTCAGATCTAGTGGGAAAAACTACTACCCAACAATATACATATAATATAATCGACAATGTTTTTTAAATTTGCTAAATAATCATGGGAATAGAAAATGACTTCGGGCTTCAAGATCCAATAGTATATACACAGGCTCGGTGCGACGAAGCTGGCGAAGAACATCGAGATGGTTCCAACGAAGGATTTGTCTCGATTTTAAGGGACTTTCGCGTGCACAAATCGCCCCCCGTCTTTGTCAGCCTCACCTAATAGAAGCAACATAAATGGCTATGACGCCAGCTGCTTCCTTTTCGTGATCATCATGCGGAATTAGATCATCATTACAAATAAGCATTATAATGTTCACATAAATGATGCATTCCAGTAAAGGTTTTGTGATTGTCACAAGAACATAAAAATAATAGACGCGCATATATTTTCATGTGGTAGAATACTACTAATCTACACTGGACCTTAATTTTCAATCTAGCGTTGCATATTATAATTAAACGTCCATGGTTGCATCTATTCAAGCTGTACGTAGGAAGACCCATCTAGTCAAGCACTACGAACTGAGAGAAATAATTACATCTTCCAGTATAGTCGTCAACCCGTGCGTCCGTACGGGCTTGTCAATATTTCGATAGATGTTTGTGAGCTATAGTTTCATTAATATTGGTTCCATGCAATATTTCTAAAAAATAAAGTTTGAAATAATAATTATAATACACATTGTATACCCTCTACATTCGTTTCATGCACATGCTTGGTTTTTCACCGCACGGGCTACTTCTATAATAGCATGTTACTCTCTACATTGTTTTGTAGTTCTTATAATATGAAATGACAATCATATTAAATAGTCGGTAGTCTATAGAAATTGCAACCCAGCTCTACAAAAAAAATTTGATTGAGGACATGGTTAACAAATATAGTAATTTTGATTTATACCATTCAGAAAACAGAGAGATCTGATTCGAAAAAAAAGAGAAATCTGCAGCTTAACAGTAGCATGCAATGAAACATGCCAGATCTATCTAATTCAAACGGGAGAAGTTTTATGGGAAAAGTAAATTGACCCGATGGAATCCATTAGTTGGGCTTCCAGTAATTGGTTTTCGAAGTTCAATTATAAATTATATAAGGACCATTGGTAATTAATCTATACATACACTTGATTTAAATCATAACTTCGAACAAAATGTGTGGAGTATTCCTTAAACATAGAACTTGATATGAAACAACTTTGTAGATAAGAAAAGAATAGCATTAGGAAATGCAATCTCCATCTCTAAACAAATAATAAGGTATATCCCAATGGTTCTAGATATTATGAAGGAGAGAATGTTTTTTAAAACCTTTGGACTAATTGAGGCTGGTAAGAGAACACAAAAGTAATGGCGAGAACATTAGTATGCCACCAATTTCAAGTCACTTTGTACTGGGGACTATAAATTGTAGGTACGTACAACAGTTGTGCAAATTAATTATTTTTACGACAGAAGGACACGACTTCCCAATTTGATTAGAACTATAACACAATGAAAACAAAAGTGTAAGGCGTAATACTGTTGATAATTTAGCTATACACTAACTTGTAATTCATGTGTTGCATCAAATACGGCCAAGAGGCCAACTCATTGGAATGTGAGTGTGAGTACATCCCTTATTCCAATTTCCTTGAAATTGCTGACATGCTCACTATTGTTTCTTGCATGAAGAACCTATGTTTACTTACTTGATGTTCATTGTATCAAAGTGTGCTGCAACAATTATAAGGTAATAAGAAGATATTTATGGTTACCGCAACACATGATAAAACTGAGATTTTTCATACAACCACCTCTATATCAACGATTACCTTATCACATGCTAATACATTCAACAATTTTTATGACTTGTGTTGCCTTTTGGCATATCTTTGTCAAGAATTTCCATATTAGTGGCTAATAAATTCCTCGTCGTTCAGGTTTATGCCATCGTATGATCCCCT